GCGACTTGGTGGCCAGTTGACACGGGCTCCAGTTTTTCTTAACATGCTTTAACACATGATCTTTCTGTTACGACAAGGTGGAACCAGTCAAGCGTTTCGTCAATGCAGTTATCTTCTGCTTTCTTTGCGACTAGATGTGTATGTAGACTTAATTGTGGGCTAAAGATTAGCTGAACCATCTTTTTGTATTCGAGAAGTTTCAAGAAGTTTATTTTTATATGTCTGGCCATTTTCACCACACATTTTTTTTTATTTGGAGGAGGAACAAAAAAGTCAAGAAGTTCAGCAACCTGATACTTATGTTTGTACGCTATTAAAGAAAGGACGCCTTTATGAGCACGGTAGGCCCTATCGAATCCTTGTCATCCTGACATTCATCCATCTCTTTCTTACTACTTTATCTCTTTTCTTTCTATTATTCTCTCTTTCCCCCACCCCAAGTGTAGGGTAGCCAACCGAGCCAAGGTTGGTTAATCTCCCTGCCTTTCCTCGCTACTTCTCTCGCTCTCTCTTGTCGTCCTCTTGTATCTACGAATGAACTGCTTTTTGTATAGACCTAAATGAAGGTATTTCCAGCAGTCACCCATATTGTCGAAAAGCTGCTAGTTACGTTACTCAACCAAACATCTCCAGCGGTGATGGTTTACCTGCACGTTCAAGATTGTTCTCGCCGGCTTGCCAGTGCTCGGTCAAATGCGGCCTAGGAAAATTGATCAGCAAAGCTACGTGCAGGTGTCGCGACTTCCCTTGAAATTTTTGACCACTACAGACCTCGCATGTGACTGGTGATGCGTAAAAATTATGTTGGGTTGTGATGTGGTCAAATAGAGGTCCGGTACAACACTTCATGCAGAATGGCTCACATGCCATTGACTTATGCGCAGGGTTGTGCCTCGTTACGCACGACTTTCTAAGAGCATGCCCATGCTTCGTTTTAAAAAGGACATTAGTTCAATACAATTAGCAAAGAGAAAACCAGGCGGGGCAATCATCGGCAAATTTCGCATGGTTATATCCGCCGGCAACCTAAAACATCCTAAATCCTAAATCTTAATCTGAGATTTTTCTACACCAAACTTTTTTCTCCGCTGCCTCCCGAATATCAGACACATTAAACGCTCAATGTTCCTCGCCGTGTTTTGAACTGAGCTGTTTCTCTGTTAAACATTATCTTCTTGTTTCACGATGGACCCACCTTTCACCAAGCGCTAATGTCACGTGATGACGTCATCATGTGTCGTTGCGTTTTGTCAAGTCACGATGACGACGCGAAGTTCGGTGATCTGTGGAGTCATGGTGAGGTTGTGGGATTTCGTGTCGATGGAAGGACGAATCCCAGAATAGAAACATAACATAATCACAGCAGCATCAGGCCAGCATTCTGATGCTACGCTCGACTGGTTAGCAGAGCAATAGTACTCTTGCCAGCTTGGCAGCATGGTTTTTTAGCCACCGCCGGTCACGCATGCCTTGGGTGATGCTGTGGTGGCGCTGTGGCTTATCCGAATTCAGGACAGCGTGCAGCCGTGTCACGCCGAGCTAAATGATAGTAAGATGGAGGCAGCGAAGAATTCAGCACATATCGTGTCGCCTGGACATCATCATGTATGTAAATGATTTTTTTTCATCACTGTCGACGCCGACACCACGGGATGGCGCCGGACACCGACGGTCAGTTTTCTCATTTCGCGATGCATCTTGGGGTTCCGCCTTATTAAAACTGAAGACTTGGGACTGGGAGTGTTGGTACAGCATCCTGAGTTGTGAACTTCGTAGCAGTGTCGGTACAGAAGTGTGTGTATGTGGTGGTCGCTCGCGTACCGTCTTTGTTTAGGAATGCAGAAGTAATTGTAGTGCAAAATAAGGCGGACAGAAAAAGGGCAGGGCACTGAGTGTTGTGCTCATGTTCTTTCACGGCACAATCACTACTGTACAATTCGCCACGGTAATTTAGTGATTATGGTGCTTGGCTGCTGGCCCGCAGTATCACAGGACCGTATCCTGGCCATAGTGGTCGCTTTTTTCGATGGTGGCCAAAATGCAAGTGGCCAGTGTGCTTAGATTTAGGTGCAAGTTTAAGAACCCGGATAGCCGACATTTCCGAAGCCCTCCAGTGAACTACGGCGTCTTTCATAACAATGTCATTGTTTTCGGACGCTAAATCTAGAACACTTATATTATTAATGACTCACATAAGTAAACTCTTCCAAGAAGTGTTACCATGTTTAAGAGCTTTCTTTAAAAGCTCTCGCCTTATGTATACGCTGAGCAAATGTAACCTCGGAGTAGCTTAATGTAGGCTTCCCTAGGTGCCTGGGAAACGCTGTTCCCGCCGACTAGCCAGTGCACGGTAGAATGCGGCTAAGGAGAGTCGATCAACAACGCTGTGCGCGCGGCCTGCATACACAAATGGTGACGGCCCGTTCAGCAAAATAAACAAGCTCGAGTTAACCTGTGTTGCAGCCGGCGTTGCGTTACCGCGAGGCACTGCCAGTCGGGCATTCGTAGTTGCAACCGGCGCTTAGAATAGAAGCGGCTAGTTTTGTTTTTCTTTCGTGTGTACTTAAGCACCGACAGCTAGCAGCAAAATAAGCACGGTGGTAAATCATCGCTGACGCACGACGAGGTATGCTTATAGCGTCGTAGGGCTATAGTGTGCATCGCCAGTGGTTTTACACGAAGAAAGGAGCCTGGTGGTCTTCAGAAGTGTCTCTGAAAGTATACTGGCGATTCAATAGAGGCGGTTTTCTCAAAAGAGTTTCCGCAATTCTGTAAAGCGTACTTGCCTGTTACGCACACAAGTTGGGCATGCGGCTCACCGCGCAGGTGACGTCTGGGATTACGTTCGACATCGCGCACAGGCTGGTTTGTCGACTGATTATGAGATAATTTAACCCTGAAAAGAGAATGTCATTTTACCTGGGGTGACGACGCGTTTTGGAGGTTGTGTGCGATGCTCTTCGGCGTCAATCAGGTGACTTAGTTCAACTATTCGAGGCTTTACCATCGGCGACCCTCGTTTTAATCTTTGACGCCAAAGTGCTATAAGCTGAACACCATTTCAGAAGTTCCCTTCAGCACTGTGAAGGTCACAGGGCCTCAGCCAAATTGGAAGGGCAATTAGCCCCTCCACATTGTTCATCTGCGTTGCGTTGTCTACTCAGCGTTCCTTTGCCGCCTGCCCGTACACGTAGGGGGAGGAAAACAAACAAATAGCATCACTGAAAAAAAAAAAAAAAAGGCTGCACCCACCGCAGGTCCCTGCGCCTTTCAAACTTATCGAGTCTTCGTCGCGTGCTGCGTGACCCGTAAGCTACTAACCAAAGCTAGTGTTTGCTTTAGTTTAATGTGTTGGCGCTTCGACAGCAATGCAGTCGTGACTGTATTGCGCTCATTTCATTATCTGCCATTAATTCCTCGGCGCGTTAAACCTAGCAAGGTTTGCTAAACAAGGAGCTTATCTGGCGATTAACACCGAAATGTACCTCACGCCTTGTCGAGAGCGTGAGATGACATATAGTGGTGGTGGCCAATTTCAAACGCAAATTTTTTGTTGCCAGCGAAGTGGACGGATACCAAGTGCAAGTTCGTATCGACTCGGTCGGTCCCATCTGCATAGGCGTAGCCATATTGATTTGTAACGCCAGTTAGAGGCGGTTACTGATGAATCAGTTCAAGACGCATGGTATATATGCGAAGCGCGATAAGAATATCACACATCAACGTGACGTAACACGTGTCAAACACGCGCAAATGTACCAACTCTGCCGAGTGTGAGGTAAATATATCTGGGACTATGTTTTGCTGCGCATGTGTGTGTGCCCTGCTTACACCCCGTAGCCTTGGTAGTGCTGAGATGGAGTATTGTCTAGTTTTCTAACGCAATATACAAGCAAAAACAAACGCGAAATTGCAGCCAATTCCACGCCGTGAAAAATCACCGAACTGCGATACTGTAAGCTCGTGAGTGCATGAAATCGATTATCATCTTCAACATACTGCTCCTCATCATCATTACTTAGAGCATCTTAATAACAAGTTCTTGGTGCAAACATTTTTCCTAGCGTAAATTTGATCTCAGTGCCACTTTAAATTGACGCGCTTGGCTTGTGCATTTGCATCCGCACTAAGACGTTGTTTTTTTTTTTTTTGACACGAAGGTTTTTTAATTTTTGTGTCTATGTGTCGGGAACCACTAAGAGGTAACTGGCATCATTTTGGCTACGGAAATGACGTTGGTAAAGGAGCACGCAATCACCTCATTTTTAGTACGCTCTATTCTTTTTGAGCTTACTGTCTATTGTGCCTAAGTCTGTCGCTAAATTCTGCGACAACTTTTCTTGGCACTGAAGCGAAGGCTGCGGCCTACTGCCATTGAATCTTGTTTCAAATTAGCGTCCGTATTTTCGACGTAAAAATGGAGCTGTTTGAGACAGGACGCAGCTCACACCAGCAAGACAGTCATGTTAATTTAACTTTACACACTTTTCGAACGCGCGAGAAAGTCCCGCACCTGTACGTGTACCCCAAACGCTGAGCGGCGTCTGCGTCTACATGAAACGCTGGTGGTGCGCCCCGGTCCCTTTCCATAGCGTTACGCGGCGTCGGAAACACGAGTAAGGCAAAAATAATCATCATTGATGATGTCATATGAGAACGTCATCACATGATGACGTTGCAATATTGCAGTCACGTATCATGAGGTCACGTGATGACGTCGTCGCATGACGCCGTAACTTGGTAAAAGATGGGCCGAACACGGGGGTAGTGCGAAATCAGGTGAGAAGCCTCATATCTTGGAGACACTGCGAAGTCCCGTTAGGTGCAGGAAGCTTTCGGAGGGAGGCGGGGCCGGCTGAGCACATCGACTGAGAATAACAATATGACTTTGGTCTCTCAGGCGAATGCAAAAGAGACCCCGTGAGATTTTTTTGAGTGCGCTGCCGTAAGCTATGCGCTACAAAGATCGCTGTATACGAGAAGCGGTGTGAATCACTCACCACATCCTGTAATGGGATAGGTGGCCAAGAGCACTGGCTTCGGGCTTCCATCTGGTGGCCAGCACTCGATCTTGTTGCCCAGTGGCCCGAAGATGCTACTGTTGCGCGCGATCTGCAGCTGGATCCACTTGCTGCTGCAGTTGCACGACAGCCTGTTGTCGCTGATCAGCCTGCGGCGGAGGTAACCCAGGAAAAATGAATGTGGCCACCGAAATTATCGCGAATGCCTCTTCACTGCAATGAGACGCACAAAGGAGACATGACGTTCAGACAGGGAGGTTAGCCAGACCGGCTGGCCACCTGGCTCACACGCACACACACACACACACACACACACACCACACACACACACACACACACACACACACACACACACACACACACACACACACACACACACACACGCGCACACGCACACGCACACGCACGCGCACACGCGCACATGCACGCGCACACGCACGCGCTCACACACACACAGAGACAGACAGACGCAAACGCACATACATACATACATGCATACATACACACACATACGTACATACATGCATACATACACACACATACACATACACACATACGCATACATACACATACATACATACATACATACATACATACATACATACATACATACATACATACATACATACATACATACATACATACATACATACACACGCACAGACAGACAGACGCGCACGCACATACATACATACACATACATACACACACATACATACATACATACATACATACACAGACGCGCACGTACACACACACAGACAGACGCGCACGCACATACATACATACATACATACATACATACACACACATACATACACACACATATATACACACACATACACACACATACACACACATACACACATATATGTATATAATATTGTGCAAAGAATTGTAAGCCTATTTTTTGTTATATAACCTAGCAACTACTGCGTGAAAAGTGCACGTCGAGAAAGTACGGCGACAAGAACTTCGCTATTTATGGTCATTATTTTAATTACAGCAAAAAATATAAGTGTCAGTGGAATTAGTGAAAATTCTGCTTCGGGCCGGTGCAACTGCTGGTCGATCGTCAGAAAAGTTTCAGTAGATCACCCAAGGAAGCTGCAATTTAGATGAAGCCTCTTGAACGGGCTGTAGGACATGGTCATGGGCTGTTCTAATGGAAATTACTTCTAGATGAATGATTTTCGACAAAGAAAATAGGAAAGATGAACATACGGTGAAAAAGAAAAGGAAGAAAAAAAATAAGCGGAGATAGACGAAAAAGTGAATTACTTTTGCGATCGTGCGCGAATGGTATTAACCCCGAAGGGCTGGATCTAGTCCAGGCTTTGGCAATTAGTGCTCGCAAAACACCGCGTGATGTACAGCGGCTCTGCTGTAAGCTTGAGCTAACTGAAAAAAGAAGAAGAAAGTGATTGTGTTCAGCGAGATGAGTGGAAATTTTGGTAGCAATTATGCGGACACTCGAGTCATGGTTTTGCTGTCGCCGTTATGCTTTGTATAAAGACCGAATGGACAACTTCGTCTCGCGCGTAGTGTGTTGTTCTATCGAAGGCTGCGTACGCACGTGATTGATGCAGAGATGAAGCGCACCGGCCCTCTCCGTAGGCTGAAGGAGCATGAGCTGATGCCGGGGGGTAGCTGAGTTTTCGAGCAGCAATTGCCAGCTTTGATTAAAAAAAAAAAAAAGGCCGTGGTTGCGTGCGTTGCGGACATCATAGACGCCTGCTACACTTGCGCCCTTACATTGCGTTGACGCAACAGACGGCACAAAAACAGCTTCGCTTCTTGGAATGGTCGTATTCCCTTACGCCATAGTTTCGCATAGTTACGCTAGGTAAGATCCTAAATAAGTAAGTTGCGAGCTTCACTTCGTATAACATCTCGATTCGTTGCTATCGCATTCATTGCATCGCCTTTGCGGTGATACTGTCAATAATAATAATATGAAATAATAATTATTATTATTATTATTAATATTATATATTTCGTAATATATACTCCTTACCATTTCCCCAGGTACATGCGAATATGCGTAGGGATAAGTGTGAAAAAGATCAGATTACTTTCAACTGTCGAGGCAATGAATTAGTTTCGGCGGACTGGAGAGAGCTCATGAAAGGAATTGTGTGTGGCACGGGAACTGTATCTTCCAAACACCACACTTAGTTCAGGAAACTAAGGCTTCTTATATGCGTCATCAAATGTAACACGTATACGTGTCTTGACATTCAACTAAAGTACTGTCTTCAACAGTACGCGGCCATGTACATAGGGTTCTAAGGGCGCTAGTTAAAAATGATTAACATTGATTCTGGCACTCTAGTGCTACTCAACACTCTTCGACGTGATGTATCAACACACTCAATTCGCTGCTCTGGTGAACTTCACCTAATCCTGATTTTGCAAGAGCATTCTGGGCCCCTGCACTGCAGCTAACCGTAAGTGCATTTAACCCGGGAGACCCTTAAGAATTTGTGGGAAAGAAAAACAGTTATGGAATTTAAAACCAACTGACTTCTAAAAAACCCGTGAACATTACTTACAGTTCTATAGTCTGTAGTCCCTCGATGGCAGTCCAGGCAATCGCTTCTATTTGGTTGAACCGCAGATCGCTGGAATAAAATAAGAATCACGCGGGTGACACGTTAAGGTTAAGAGTGTCTCGCATCATCATTGAGAAAAAAGTAATTATTATTCGGCTTTTGAATAGCAAGTCTCTGAAAGAACATGCCATACGAGCAGTCACTGTGTAAGGAATACACTCAAAGAACGTTTTCATCGATTTGAATAGGCACGAGCTCTAAATCAGGCAGCGTGAGAAAAAAAAAAAAATTAGAGGCAACAAATTTTGGTAGAACAAGGTTTCGTTCTGGCAGACTTGGTACCTTCAGGATGTATACTATAGGGATTATTGGTCAGCTACAAGATCGTAATACTTCACGTGCTACGTGGCACCAAACATGCAAAAAAAAAAAGTGTTTCACACTTGCCGTCATTGCTACAGGGGAAGCTGACTGACGCTCCCACGTTCAATTCACACATTAATTGGTAGAGAATCGGACGCCTTATTCGAAGGTCGCTGGTTCGGTACCTGCCCACGGCAAGTTATCTACTCATCCACTTTTCTTTCTTCACATTTATATTACAAATACATATAATAACATCCCATACACTTTTTTTTGCAGTATAATCTGCTAGATCTCATTAGTATTGTGTCTAAAAAATTAAACAATTCCTTAAATGTACACTTGTCTCCTTCGCTTAGCCACATTAATGCTAACCTTTACAATATGCTTAGTGTTAGACCGGTAGAAAAAGGTTAACGAAGATTCAGAGATTTTGATGTTTAAAACAGAGAAAGAAGGCTGAGCAAGCTCTGAAAGCAAGAACTGCGCTAGTGAGTCGCGAAGTTGTTTTACGCTCACACACATTGAAATCTGCGTACAAGTCTCAACACTGCTCTGTGTTTATGCGAAGTAAGAATACACAGGAATCTATTGCAAGGGCTTTACGACTTGGACATTTAAGTGAATAAACCGTCTCCGCAATAGTTGACTGGCATTCAAAAGCATATCACAGAAACAAAAATAAATAAAAGGACAGAAAGCGAAGGAAAAGAGTTTGGGGGTGACTCGATTTTGTGTGCTTGTACCCTTGTCCATGCTTTTCGGTGCGTTTGTGCGCGCGTCTATTTTACTCAGCGTCGTTGTTGCACTCCCCCCCCCCCCCCCGCCTTTGAATCTCCTTCTCGCCCTTGCCCGTTCAATTTCCTAAACAGGACGACTATGCACACAGAACTAGAGGATAGATCCCATTTATCACTTCGCGGCGTGTTTCCTTGTTTTTCTGGCGCTTTTATACCGGAAACGTGCCCATTAAATAGCGGTGTTTTACGGATATCGAGTCACCATGCCGAGGAGTTATAAATAGCTATCCCCATAAAAAAGTGCGATTCGGCGATAGGCTCTAGCTTTCCACTAAGTTACTGAACGATGAACAGTGCGAAAAAGAAAAACAAACAACTATACAAAACCACGTTGACACGGTTACTTGCCGAGGAAGCAATAGGACGATACAAACGTTCATTACTTTTCAACAGCCTCTTAAGTGAGTGAACGATCAACAGAACACGCATTTTTCTAGCGTCCATTTCAGGATAAAGCTTACTAGCACTACCACATTTATCCAGCACATCTCCATTCGTCTGATTGGGACAGAGGACAAAAATAAATAAATTGGACTCGCAAAGTACTTAAGGACGTGACTAACGATACTTAGTCACGTCCTTACAGTTACTAGATTGTTTTGTGGCACGCTATTTCTTTGCCAAATAGTGCGAAACTTCAAACTCCATCGTCAACACAAGAGAACCCTTTCGGGAAACGTGAAGCTTGATTCTTGGTATAGCTTTGCTATGTGGCTCAGAAGCGAGACTGTCTTCATTATACGACACATGTCGCAGAATGAACCCAAGGAAGGTGCGTAGAGTTCCGAGACACGTGGCCCTAAAAAAAAAGAGGCAACAGCCTAACACTTCTCGGAATAACACCTTCGCTTCCTTAGCGCCGCTCTGAGAACGGGCCTGAACACTGAGCTCTGTTCAAAATGGTCTCACTCTGAATGTTACCTTCAAAGAGGACGTTCAGTAGCAAGCTTGATATAGACTACAATAATGGGAGAACTGGTGTTGGTAGCTTCAGTTTTCACGTCGTTGGCAAAATACCATTAATAGTTCAAGCGCTACAGGAATTCCAGTAAAAAGTATGGCAAGGAAGTGCAAATAGAGAGGCCACGCGGGGACAACGGACATACATTTCATTGCTTGCGGTACATATTAGAGAGAGATAGGGACGATATTGAAGCTGAAGAAAAAGCATTTCTTTTCCTCCACACACACACGTACACAGGATTAAGCAAAAGCATAGTTCGCGCTCACGAGAGAAAGAGACGAGCTACCTCCACTGACAAGGCAAGATAAATTGTGTACGTCTGCATGGGCGCGTTCTTTAACAAATAGGAAATTTAGACCTTGTAGTGGTGTTTCAAAAAGTGCACTTCTTTACTCTGACGGTATTGCGTAATGTTATCAGTAGATGGTAACGTGCAACCTTCGTGCTTATAGAAATAAATATCACATTAAAAATGGCGTTGGTTGCACTGTATCACGCCTGAAATGTACAGCTATGTAACGTAAGAATGATAGTAATTAAATTGCTGACTCCGATGAAACCGGGGTTCCGAAACAAACACTGAAGTCAGAGTTGTCGCACCATTTTTTTTTATTGGACTCCATTTTTGTTCACGTTTGCCTCCTAAATGACTCCTCCTCTCTCCATAAGCAGCGTCACTATTTTGACAGAGTTCGCGAGGTGGAGCTGGTCGCGCTTTTTTCACTTAATTGCATTCTTTCTTTCTACCCAGAATTAGATGAGGCTCGAAAAGTGATGCCACACCGAGAATGCGGAAATATTTCTCGAACGAGCCGAGGGAAGGTGCTTCCGGAATTGCCAGGAGTAGACGTATAGAGGAACACTGTGGGTTATGCAGATCGAAACTTCTCACTATAAGTTTGACTTCATACATCTGTGTTGTCTTTGCGACAATAAACCATTCGTACGTACATATTACTTTGGGTATCGTGCATGGTTCGCTCAGTGAAGCAGCATGCTTAGCCTGACATTTCGCGCATGTTGATATAAATGGTGAATCCAGCCGTTTTAGTATCCATACCATCTGAGGCTTTTACGTGCCTTGAAGCTTGGGCATGGCGTAGTAAGTCCGAATTAATTTACTCCACCAAAGGTTCTACAACGTGCACCCAAATGTAAATACATGGGTGTTATATTGCATTTCGCCCTCATCAAAAAGGGCGACGATGGCCAGCGATTCGCCTTTTCCACGATGCCGCTGCGCATGCGCCCTTCCCTAGCGGAAAAATCGCGAACGAATCCCAGTCTCGGAGGTCTTCGTTCTAGTAATTCCAGTTCTCCTGGCCTCTACCAAACCCCACCAAAAGGCCAGAGGGCAGCACAGAAAAATGGAAAAAGTGAATTCGACACACGTTATCGTGCTTAGCGATGCGACACCGTATACACGTGCTAAGCTACCACGGCGGGCTCGTCTTCTGGGACAGGTGAGTTTCTGTGGTTCATCATTAGGGACATCTCGCGGTAGCGCATTCGTAGGCAAAACTTCCGAAGAAACCAATAAGCTAGATTGCTCGTTGCTGAAGACGGGAGGAGACACGAAAGCAAAACAACCCGCGACTTCCTTCGCGCTCACGTCTGGGCGCGTTGCGCCGACAAACACAGCAGGTCCCCGCCTAAGCGGGAACTTGCTGTTCGCGCGCCCCGCTTTTCGAGATCGCGGCGGAAATCCCGGTGGAAATAAAGGAACGCGAAGATTGCCGCCAGCCAGTCTTCTCACGGCACCTCGAGATCGTATGCGCTCTGTCCCTTACACCTCTCTTTCTTTCTCTCACACACACGCACACGCGCACACGCACATACGCACACGCGCACACACACACACACACACGCACACACACATGTACATACACGCACACGCACACATATGCGAGCACACACACACACACACACACACACACACACACACACACACACACACACACACACACACACACACAACACACACACACACACACACACACACACACACACACACACACACACACACATGCGAGCGCACTCTCACTCAATATCTCTCTCACACACGCAGACACTCTCACTCACTTCTCTCTCTCACACGCGCTCACTTTGTCTCTATCTCTCTCGCTAGAAAGACGCCCGAATTAATGAAAACATCGGCCTCGGTTCCATGGGTCGCCGTTGTTCAATGTCGACGAGCAAATGGGAGTGCCGCTGTCGGCTCCAAGCGCGTTATTTTCAAGGTCGCCTAAGAATTGATGACCCGAGAGTCCCCGCTCGCTTGTTGTTTCCCCCGACAGCAGAGATTGGCTTTTCGCTATAGCCGTATAGATATTCTCTATATAGGAAATAAAAGGAACAACAGGCCTATCGGGAGAAAAGACCTGTAGCTGGAAAATCGGGCGGTGAGTGCCCAATAGGCTCGGCGCACAAGATGACGACGATAGGACGCAGAAGCGATATGCGAATCCCGGAAAAGAAAAAAATCTATGGGAAGTTGCGAAAGAAACAAAGACAGATGACCGAGACTTCAAAGATGACGTTTGAATCCGTCCATGCCTTACACCGGGGCTCTTTTTTTTCCCCTTTTGAAATGAAAACGCATATACACGGGGCCTTCACCGTCGGCGCACTTCCAATCTAGAGTCGCGCACTCTTTATTTTATAGCTCGCGCAGCTACCGTAATGCAGTCTCGGAAAATGGACTTTTGTTATACATCGATATCAGGTAGTACATTTTCCTCGTACACTGTGCGCCTTCACTGCCGATGACGCCAGACTATATATATATATATATATATATATATATATATATATATATATATATATATATATATATATATATGGTGGGGTGAAATTCAATGGATCCGGTGGAAAATGCGGTAGAAAAAGAGGTCGACAAACGTGCGCAAAAACACTAGTTTTACTAACGTTTCGGCAGGTGGGCCTGCCTTCGTCGAAGGCAGGCCCACCTTCGGACGCCCACCTGCCGACGAAGGCAGGCCCACCTGCCGAAACGTTAGTAAAACTAGTGTATTTCGCACGTTTGTCGACCTCTTTTTCTACCGTATATATATATATATATAAATAAATAAATAAATAAATAAATAAATAAATAAATAAATATATATATATATATATATATATATATATATATATATATATATATATATATATATATATATATATATATATATATATATATTGCTTTATCATGGCATTCACTGTTTTCATTTTTCGGCATACGGACGAAAAGTTGGGAGTTACCGAAAATCTCTCCACCGAATAAGAAATGTACAAAGAAGAGAAAGAGGAAGTGGACAAGCGAGGAGATTGTTGCTGCGGAGCTCGTGTGCGTGATATGTATCGGCAGCGTCGTCCAAATTCGCCCCCACAGAGATGTAGCTCGGCCTTTGCCCGAGGTGTGCGATGTGGCTTTACACGGTGCAGTTGTTTTCTTCTTTTAGGGGCGAAGCTCCTTAGGGCGTGGGCTGTGCGTCCCCTGTAGCCTGTATGTAGCCACCTCTAGTTTAGTTCTTGCAGTGTTCACTAGATGGCGGTACCGTCCCCTGTATGTAGCCACCTCTAGTTTAGTTCTTGCAGTGTTCACTAGATGGCGGTACCGTCTCCTGTATGTAGCCACCTCTCGTTTAGTTCTTGTAGTGTTTACTAGATGGTGGTACTTGTAGCTGATGATGAAAAGATGCAAGATGTTATAAAATAGAAAGCGGTACTTGTAGTTGATGAAAGACGCGAGATCTTATAAAATAGGAATGATGTCACATATGGCGCGTGTCATTGGTTGAAGGCAATCGTTCGATTTAGTGCGGCGACGTACGCTAGGGGGAGCGATGTAATAAAATCGAGTGGGCAAAATGTACAGAGGATTCATGGTTTACCAGGTTTACCTCCGGAGCTTCGCCCACTCATCATCATTCACTTCGTGGATATGGCGAAATTTTTTTTTAAAAAGCACAATGGAGCAGAAATGGCGTCTGTGTCGAAATCTTTGAACATAATGCGAATATACTGCCTGGCGGCATCTGTTGATCAAAACGGACGTAGAAATTTCATGTCCTCCGTGTAGGCTAGCAAACTGCACTTAGTCTAGTCAACCTCTCTACCTTTCTGATATTCTTTCTCTCTCACTCATGTCCCAGTCTAAGTTCGGCAGTCCTCTTGATACGCTAATATCACTGCTAGATCTCGTACTTGCACTTATTTTCCTACAGAGCATAGAACGATTTGAAGAAAATCGAGCACGCAGTGCAGTATGCGTGAGTTTCACTTTTCGAGGAGAACTCTTGTGTCAGCTGCTGTCGTGCAATGTCAGCGGCTGAAGTGTATGGACGAGACAAAAAGCATATATTTATTGAGCACTATCGATCCGTTTAAAGTTGTTATATAGTGATGCTTGTTTACAACGAAATGCCCGTATTCTAATGAAACGAATGGCATCAACGTTTTCATTTTCTTACAAAGTAGAAGACTAAATTTTTGTCTCTTTTTTATTGTAATATTTTTTGTGTCGTTCTGCACCACCCACATGATATGACGATGAACACTTCCGACATACTTATATGAAACAAAGAGATAAACAAGCAGACCCCGAATTAATTGCAAAGAAATACTAACTGCGCAGCGGCTTGAATTGCCCACTAAGTGCGACCTGTGCTTCCGGGCGAGAAAAACAAGGCATTTTTTTTTTTGTGGTGAGATATCAAAGATAAGCTGAGAAGCATTCGAAAATAAATTCATGCTGAGTATGATGACCGAGAGCGCTACTTACATTTTCTGGATTTCCTGGTTGTGCTGGAAGGCTTTGGGAGATACATACTTCAGGCCACACTTGTGAATGGTCCTGTTCGGAAAGAGAAGATGGCGAGAATACCACGCAGGCAACTTCGTAAACATAAAGAAAGAAATACGGAGGCATCAGAATGAACTGTTCACACTGGGCTCGATTCCCAAAACACTTTCGTAAGGGCGTTTTTCTATTGGTAAGAAGCATTCATGAATTGCATGTACAGTACTCACAGATTAAACGAGACATGGATCTCTTTCGTATAGGGGCTGGTATGCCCAATTGGTTGAGAAATTTACGTCATACCACGACGAATCTAGTATTTATTAAGATGTGTGGGCTTTCATGTTCGAGTGGAAATGACGCCAATATAGCCGAAACAAAAAAAAGTATGGGCCCCAGATTGTTGTCATGATCCGTGAGTATACTGTACCTCATCGCGATTGGCTGAAATGATTCACTTACGAAAATTTTCAGCGTAAGGCGTTTTTGTGAATATAGAGCCCTATTATTCGGGACCACGTTGATAATTAGAATTTCACAGGACTGATTGTGCGAACAACTGATCACCCGCTTCATGAATGGAGCAAAACTGGAAATGTAGGGAGGGATGTAACTGGTGTTAAGATGAATTAACGAATATGAGTTTAATAATATCTGAAATGAGGAGGTCGCAAAATAAATACTAATGACCCTTTAATTAGGTACAGTGAGAGTCGCAGAAAATTCGAAAGCGACAGAAAACAGCTGTTCATGCGGAAGCAAGTTAGGGCACACTTTTCAAACGTCGACGTTTGTGTATTGCACTTTGTCAAGACTTGGCTTTGAAAAAGGTCGCATGATAATTTATTCCGGCTGTATTAGTATGGGGATAACCTCTCGTACAACAGTGTATCGCGGCTGATATATTTACGTAAACAGTGAAAAAAAAATTCGTTCACCTATTCATTTTTTGGCGCAAACAAAACATTGCATCATATATCTGTGCAATATTGCATCACAAATAAAGTGTCATGGCGGGACTCGTACGAAATTGTCCAGAAAGATTGGCTATGCGCTTCCAAAACTACCACCCCGTCTCGTTCTTAGACCTTTCAAAGAATGGTGTCTGCCAATCGATTTCACTCTGATGAAGGACGGTCGGCAGGCGGCAGCATTAGTAAATGAATGCTTTTCTTTAGCCATGTGTGTACACCCTTTCTGCTAGATGTCGAGCTCGTTACCTTGTACTCGGGATGGTGCAATTCGGTAGTAAAGAATGAAACACAAGAGCGTTGTATGAAAACACCAGCAAGTCATTATGACTGCGGTAATGTTCGAACGAATACATAAAAATCTGTAGTATCTGCGAGTTGGCGGTGACATGCGTCTTTCAGTACGGTTGTGTCTCTGAGCTGATGTTGTGTTTATGAAGGTCAAACGCTATCGTTTGCCGTAACTGTCGCAGCATCTACCCTTTCGGTCGTGGAAGTATTCCACGGAAGTGTTTTAAGCTACGCGGTGTTGCGACGGAAAAATCCCGGTGAGTTTTCAGCGAAGTAACTTTTATTTTGAAGGTCACGTCGTCATGCGAAAGGCTTACGCTGACTAAAAGACGCTCAAATCGTCCCAGAAAGTAGAGGAAAGCAGCGAAAAAAATAAGATAGAGAGAAATAGAAGATAAGACAGAAGGTATAGGTGGGTTAATCCGCGATATCCGTACAGTGGCCCACTTATTTGGGCCGAGGTTTAATGGTCGTGCTTTGCCGGTCGCTAACAAGGAACGGAACTACCGGGGCTTGAACAGTGGGGCGTATGAATTCTTTTTTAAGATGTTATGTCCGAGGAGTAGGGAGAGAAAGATTTTGAAATCTTTGCCGGATTTGATGTTTCAGCGCGCGCTGAAAAACGGATATGTTTTGTTGTCAAGGTGACGACTCTGGATTTTAGCTTAGCGCAGAGGAAGCATACATAATAACAAAAAAAAATGAAAGAGCAAGCTACAGATGTAGCTAGAACGAGGAAACAGGAGTAGGAACATAAGCTAAGTAAGGAGAGAAGGTAGACTAAAGAAAAAAAAAAAAACTCGCAGAGACATGGCGGCTCAATGCTTGCTACTGCCTGCCTCAATACGTATAAGAGATCCGCGGACGCCGAGACAAGCGATTCATCAGTCTGCGCGCTGCAGCGCGTCGCGCGCGCTCGCATAAAATCTGGCGGAGCGGCAGACAGTATGTACCAAGCGAGGGAGATTTCACTGGCGCACTGGCTGTCGTAAAAGACGCTGCGTTGGCCGTGCTCGCGTCCTTCGGCTTTACAGCCCTTCGCAAAAGTTGGCCCTTCCCCCAGCCCATCTCTTTCTCTCATTCTTGAGAGCAGCGGTATCTTTTCTCGTCTCGCCGCGAGCGACGTCGTCCCACCGCGACGCCAGCCTGCCGTTTCCACAAACCGAGCGTTCTAGTTTTCAGTAGGAGCGCGATTAATCCGCCATACTCTTCCGATAAAGCCAGGAAGAGGGGAAAACGGGGGTTGGGCAGCAGGAATATCTTGCAGGCTTCTTGATGCTAAAGTCTCTCACAAACCGCGACCCCGATAGCCGAGTTACGCTGACAGACCAATAGTAGCGCTCCGGGCTGTAGAATATATACACTCCTTTCAGCCTCGCATGCTGTCACGCGATACTTATCTGTTAGAACGCGCAGTAGGAACGGGCACTGCTGCGTCCATAAAAGAGGAGGAGACGTTAATTGGGAGCGTGGACGACGTAGTCCAGACTACACCGGGTGGATACAAAATGTAAGTTGACGACCGAGTTTCGTAAGAGCACACTTATAGACTGCAGCGGGTGCGTTGTTCACTAAGGCGAAGCTTGATGCCATGAACAACGGCCAGCAGATGGCACATGAGGAATTAGCTGACAATTCGTTAGTACGTATTGTAAGTTATAGCGATACTTACAACTTTATTCATTTTCTTGTGAGCCTCCCTGCAGGTCAGGAAACGGGATACTTGCTTCAAAAAGCGTTGAATGAAAGACATAACTGCGCAATATCCATGTCTGGAACGGATATCTAAATGTAATGCAGGGAGCTAAGCACTATTCTACGGAAAAGTAATTTCGTAGCTCTGCAATAAAGCAATCATCACTTCGACCCACTCAGAAAATTCTCTATAGCCGCCGATCCCCGCATGCCCCGCCGCGGTGGTCTAGTGGCTAAGGTACTCGGCTGCTGACCCGCAAGTCGTGGGTTCGATTCCCGGCTGCGGCGGCTGCATTTCCGATGGAGGCGGAAATGTTGTAGGCCCGTGTACTCAGATTTGGGTGCACGTTAAAGAACCCCAGGTGGTCAAAATTTCCGGAGCCCTCCACTACGGCGTCTCTCATAATCAAATGGTGGTTTTGGGACGTTAAACCCCACAAATCAATCAATCAATCTCTCACGACCCATGGAGACATTACCTCGCGGAGTTCGATTGGAAGGAGCGTATGCAGACAATCTTCTGTGTACAAGATACCCCGATCCAGCCAACTAGAGTGCTACTGTGGTCACCAAGATAAGAAAGTTGGGCACATTCTTTTGGAGTGCGTGATGTAAGCACTCCAAACAAGAGAAAAACGAGAAAAAAAGGAAGGCAGGGAGGTTAACCAGAAGAATAAGGAATGGGCAAGCACTCTCAAATCATGACAGGTAGATTGCCACTATCCCTCAAGAGGAAGGTATATAACAGCTGCATCTCGCCGGTACTTACCTACGGAGCAGAAAGCAGGAGGCTTACAAAGAGGGTTCAGCTTAAATTAAGAAGGACGCAGCGTGCGATGGAAAGAAAACGATAGATGTAACCTTAAAAGACAAGATGAGAGTAGAGTGGATCAGGGAACAAATCGAGTTTAAGGATATCATAGTTAAAATGACATGGGTCGGGCACGTAGCGCGTAGGAAGAATAGCCGTTGGTCATTATGGATAACTGAATAGATTCCCAGAACAGGCAAGCGAGTTAGGGGGAGACAGAAAGTTAGGTGGGTAGATGAAATTAGGAAGTTTGCGGGTACAATGTGGCAGCAGCAAGCACAGGACCGAGTTGACTGGCGGAACACGGGAGAGGCCTTTGTCCTGCAGTGGACGTAGTCAGGCTGATGATGATGATGATGATGATGATGATGATGATGATATGAAAGTACGCAAACGAAAGCGAAAGTTTAGAGGATGAACTACCGAATTTAGAAAAATGCCTTCTCACATTACAGGAATTACTTGGACCGTGGCCTGTCCGCAAATGCATCTTCAGATGACATCTTCCCGAAAGACTGCTTGTTGGACATTGGACGGCTCGTGAATAGATATGGATTCATATATACGGAACGATGTGTTGTCCATATATACTATGGGAGGGACTATAAATGTGCGCGTGTGAACGCTGTATCGAAGTGTGAACCCCTGCAAGCAAACTGCACATTACCATGTTATTTTAACTTGTTCCGGTGCTCTGTATGTTTTTTTTTTCTTTTTCGAGCCTATACGCTTCCACCGCTTCGTAGCTTATACTCGAAGCACGCAGACTGCTGGCGAAAGAGGAAGCGCGCCAAGAGCGAACGCACGTTAACGCAAGAGCGAACGTGGTCTCCTGTCACACGAGAGCACGCATCGGAGTGGAGCGAGCGCCGCAGCACGATCTAGCAAGGCGCTCTGAGTACTAGGTCACGTCTAGGCCGACGCGGGACTGGCGTGTATACGCCCTAAGGAGCTTTCTCACGAATGCTTTCTTCACGAATACGAATGCTTTCTTCCGGCTTGGAACAACAGTGCGAAGCTGCCTGTCTGTTTTTGGTAAGCACCTTTTTTTCTTTCGCTGCAGAACAAGTTTAGGAAACAGCAAGACAAAGGAGAAGACGATGAATAACCAGAAAAAAAAGGAGACCCATCATCGTGATGTTATTCACATTGCAATCATCTCAATAAATGGCTCTGACCATCGTGGCTCTTTGGCGTATTCGTTCCCGATGGAGGTAATATGAATGTCACTTTCTGCACAGCAAACTCAAACAGAACAGAGCACTCAACTACGGAACTCGCTTCCGGTTAATCTTAATACCTTTAACACTCCCTCTCTCTGAGGTTTATTATTATTATTATTATTATTATTATTATTATTATTATTATTATTATTATTATTATTATTATTATTATTATTATTATTATTATTATTATTATTAATATATTTGGTTATATGCCTGTAAGACCACCTACATTTGCGAATGCCACGAACAGGCGAATTCACTTCAGGCGCATTGATTGATTGATATGTGGGGTTTAACGTCCCAAAACCACCATATGATTATGAGAGACGCCGTAGTGGAGGGCTCCGGAAATTTCGACCACCTGGGGTTCTTTAACGTGCACCCAAATCTTAGTACACGGGCCTACAACATCTCCGCCTCCATAAGAAATGCAGGTTTTGGGACGTTAAACCCCACATATAAATCAAATCAATTAAATCTAAGTACACAGGCGTTTCTTCAGCTTACTCAAGTCTAAATACGGCCATCAATTCCGGCAATCGAATCCACGCCCTCATGTTTACAAGCGCATCGTCGTACATGCGAAATCTGCCACGACTGGTGGTTATCGCTACAAACTCGCTTCCACGTTCTAAGTACGTGGTCACAGTCAATCTACGTCCGCTACATTCATATGGCGGTGCCTCAGGAGCTTATAAAAACTGCCTGATTGGAATAAATTTCATAGATTTTAATATTTTGTTTCTCTACAAGCGCGTTCGTTGGGCTCCATATCGGACAAGTACATCGATATAAGTAATTTACGGCCTGTACGACTAGCTCATGCGGCTGGTAACGTGAGTCATGCTTGTGGACCCTATCGGGCTGGTGACATCAAGATTGCGAGTTTGATTAAGCAGCGGCGGTCGCATTTTTATGAGGGGGGAGGGGGGCGATATACTAGACTCATGCGTGTACTGCGTCATGTCACTGCATGTAACAAAGCAAGAGATGGCCGAAAATTTTGGCACGCAAACCCCTTGCTCGTGGACCTTCTTTGATTCTGCACTTCTTGGAAGTCGAGACGCCAAGTCATTTTGGGAACCTGTATACGCGTATTTACCAACATACCAGAACCCCGTGTTTCGACCCTGGAACTCAAATCTAGAAGGTTTTCACGACGCCGGCATGGTCGCTGGGATTAGCATCATTGACACGTATAGTGGTGGTTCACTTGACAAATCGTTCGCGTGGACGTGGCTCGTGTTTGACGTGCGGTGATTTTTCACTCGAGAAGGCTGGGGCGATAGCAGTCGCGTTCGTGGGCTGCATTTGAAGCTCGACCGTGGCCAGTGTTTTTAGTGGCCATATCCGGAGCGTGCCTACGTAAACTAGTTATAAGTTATAACAGCAAATTATATAAAAAAGAAACTGTATTCAACGATTCATTCACATATTTATTTCTGTAATCTTAAGTTTCTAACTCGCGTTTGCTGTGTTAACTCACGTTTGCAAGCATTATATTTTGATTAAAAAACAACTTTTCGTGCTTATAGAATCGAAACGTGTGTAAGCGTCCCTGCTATGTTCTTGACCAAGAAAGAGTGAATTTTTGAACAGTGGTGACTTGTATCGACAAAATCAGCATTGTGGTTTGTACTTTTGGGCATGTTCCGCACGTACTTTGGGGGAGACATTTCTTTTATAGATTATAAACGTCACTTGTTAATAACTCACCTTGTGTCACTGTGTATGCCATCTGCCTCTCAATTTTTTTTTTCATATTTCCGTATTAGTGATGCAGAAAAGTTCCGAAAGCTGTGTGAATACATAATTCTAAAATATTCACTCGCACGTGACACAACACGTAATAAAAACAAAAGAACATGGACATTCTGCCACCTACGCAGGTAACAAATGGGCGGCGGTCGCCCAGCCCACTACTACTAGTCAGTTACGTCCTTGTAAACCTGCAGTACGAGGCCGCGGTTGTTTTTGCAAACCGATGTTTCGTGACCAGTGAAGCACGATTCCGGGCGTTTTTAGATGTAAAGCTGCTTATGGCGGTGTGACGTGACCATCCTTACTGCGCTAGCGAGAAGGGGGCGAGTTGGCGCATGCGCAGTGGAAGAGCGGACGGTCGCCGAGGGCCCTCTCCTCACGTGATCGCGAGGAGGTGGGGCAAAGGAGGTGGCAGAGCGGTGGCTCCGCTTCGTTTCTCCTCTCCCGTTTATCTGTCCACCACAGATGTTCGCTCGTATATAATGCTGCGCGCTCGCTCGCGCCATTGCACTCTCCTAGCAGAGCTGGGTTTTCACTTTGCGCCACACACACGGTAATACACACGAATAGGAGAGAGGCGGGTAACATAAGCGGTACACAACATATACACAACTCCACACACAACTCGGCTGCTGACCCGCAGGTTGCGGGAACAAATCCCAGCTGCGGCGGCTGCATTTTCGATGGAGGCGAAAATGCCATAGGTCCGTGTGCTCAGATTTGGGTGTATACCTTGAAGAACACTAGTTGGTCGAAATTTCCGGAGCCCTCCACTACGGCGTCTCTCATATTCATATGGCGGTTTAGGACGTTAAACCCCACAAATCAATCAATCAATCAATCAATCAATCAATCAATCAATCAATCAATCAATCAATCAATCAATCAATCAATCAATCAATCAATCAATCGATCAATCAATCAATCAACTCCACACACAAAGGAAACATACACGCAAACAATCAAACGGAAACACAAGTGAACACCATCGCTGCTTCGCATCCCCACATGGTTTGCTTTAGTGAGAGATGGTGTAATTTTTTTGTTCCCCCAGCTTTCTTCCCGAGTCAGCGTCATCACATTGCTTCAGTCGAAGGTTTGCCCCGTCGTCCAGCCGTGTTCTGTCTTGGGACGCTTGGAACAATAGAGCTCTGCCTTGAAACGCGTCTCATAGGTGGCTCTAGTGACGTCCGCTGTGTGTTCTTTCAGCCTCGTTGATCTTTTCCTGACAGTTTCGGCGATATGAATTGCGTCGCAAACCCAGAATTCTAATTTGTAAACGACTCAGCTTTGATCGTTTGCAGGTGTATAGTCTGTGGACTTAGTGAACACGCGTCCAAAAGTGTAAGGGGCTCGTAGGAACAGTTCGTATGCATAGCAGACGCAAAGCTCTCCAAACGGAGTCTGATACACCTTGAACATAACGCCTATGTTGTTTCAACACTTGTTGTGCTAAGCCAGGGTATTAGTGATTTTTGTCGAATATAAAATCAAAGCTTGTATATAGGTTTCATCTGCAAGATTACGTAAGTATATTGTTTAAACACAAGAAATAAAGTAAGCTTATCTGATTTCCGACTTCATTAATGCGACCCCTAAAAAAGAACAACACAAATAGCGAAACACTTGCGCTTGTCACTAGAGAAGGCGGTTCATTTTACTCACAGCGTCTTCAAGGAAGGGTACCACTGCAGCTGAGTCTCGTTGAGCTCTTCGAAGCTTATCTGGTTCTCGATGCTTCTGCAATGCAAATGAAAGAAGACGCACGAACGTTAATTCCTGCATCGGACATTGAAATCTAACTCACGTCCCCAGCATGCCGTATAATGGGGCTAAGTAAAGTGCATAATTCTTTCTCGGCAGCTGATGCCAAAAGTGGAAGTTTATTTCCAGTCAGCATAGACAATCAATTAAGGGAGCAGCATAAATGTCATTTCCGTGACGGAAGTGACGCCAGTTACCTCTTCATGGAGCCCGACACGAAACACTTTTGTATTAATTAAGAACGTACTTGTACAGACGAAAGTGCATAAGCGAAGCGCTAACAAACTCATTTAGGCACGCATGCTGCACGAAATATACAAGTGGCTTTATAGCGCTATAAGTAGAATCAGGGCACACCATAACCCGAGAATGTCTCGCTGATAAAGACACCCGTCACACGTGAATAGAGTATGTGGCTGTAACTATGGCTGTTAAACAATACAGATTGTAGGCTCATTTCCGTTAGACGGCCAACTCGCATAGCACGTGCACTTACAATGAAATTTGACAGTTGTGTAACAAGCAGGCTCTGTATCAAGCTGCGATGTCTTCTGCAGGTGGATGGGCTTGACTGTAAACATTTTCTTCCTTGTTTCAATGTTAGATAGCACGTGTAACGTCTAGTAGCGCAGCTAGACTAACATTTATAATTAGTATAATTAAACAATTGCATATTTATTTGATATTACATAATTAGCTTATTCAGAAAACTTTATTAGTGTCCTGAAGTCTGTTTTTTTTTTCAGACCGAGGCAGGCCGCATTCACGTCTGTGAGTTTTTCGCATCTTATGGAGTAGTGTATTGCTTATAAATGTACTGTGAGAGATAAACAGAGAAATCAAATACGCTCACAAACTCTGAAATCTGTGTATATAGAAGGGTCCCATGTAAAATGAAATTCGTCTGAAACAAGCTTTGCCGGCCGTTTCAATCATTGACAAGCATGATAAATTAGGTAAGTGAGATGTATTACAAGCGCTATGCCTCATTTGTCTTGTATTGAACTGCGCTGTTAGTATATCTGTGTCACCTGTTAGCCACAACCGTGGCATGCACTTTGTTACGCAAGATGGGTGATTTATTTTACCCTGCAGCGGTCACTACTGGTCCGCTTATATTTCAGGAACTCAAGGGTCCTTAGAGGAGGTGCTCACTCAATCGCGGAACTACAATATAATTCATACACGATTCCGGAAGTTGTTGGAAGGAGTAGCTTGAAAGCTTAACTGGAAGGACTTAGTGGCCTACCTCGTGCGGATTTCTAAAAGTGCATCAACAGTTCTAATTCAACGCCATTCGCCAAACGGGGTCATATGCCTTAGCATGTTAAGCTTTACCAGGTCGTGTACTTTCAACCGCGGAGGGCAGGGAATGACCATCGATCGAGTACAAAGCGTGGAATGCTCGTGCTATAGCATTTAAGCGATGCGCGTGGTTAGACGAAGAAAAACTCGTGAGACTTTCCACGTTACTTGTTTTTTTTTTTATTTCGAAAGTTTTCGAAACGGCATGCACAGTTAAATATATAGATGAAGGCAGGTTTCCGCTATATACGTCAATAGTGCTTTATGATGGGCCTATATAGCTACATTAAAAAACGGGGTATTTAAATCAAATGCAAGTGTGTGTGTGTGTGTGTGTGTGTGTGTGTGTGTGCGTGTGTGCGCGTGTGTGTGTGTGTGTGTGTGTGTGTGTGTAACAGACAGACAGTACTACAGGAAATTCCCGGCTTTCTTTCCAGCCCTTATTGACTTAGTACTTGCCTGTGGAATCTGTAAGTCAAGCCATACCGCGTAAAAGACGCTACACGGCCAATTGACGGGAGTGGCTGGCGTAACGGTTTCAGAGTATAGCGTACAGCTTATGGAAGGAATAACTGACGACAATCGCATCTTTAGCACGAAGCTACAAATAAACCAATGCGGACTTTTGTCAAGGGAAATATTATTTTTGAGCAAAAACTCGTTCTCGTCTGGAGGTATCGTAGCTGGGAACAATGCTTTTCCTGGATGGTCGCTCTACCAGTTGAGCCAATCAGGATGCTCGAAATTAGTAGTGCGAGGGCAAATAAATCAGCAACTAGAAGCATGTAGGCGCTGGTCCAGGGTTCTATACTCTGACCAGGGTGGATTCTTCTTCGACTTAAATATTTCTCTCCGAAATATCCGTTTAAAATGGGCAGTTTTAAATTATGGCTTTCATGACACTTTCTGCCACCTTGCGAGGTTCCGCCTAACTCAATTACAATAGGTGGTGTACAGCTTGGTGGTGTTTTTGTAATGACAACAAAAAGAACTCATTTCTATTAGTCACAACGAAAAAGTGGTACTACAAAACAGGCAAGTCATTGCGCACAATCAAATCGGAAACGTTGTTTCAGAAGAAGCTAGCTTGGTTATACGGGACCATAGATACGAGACATACAAGTACTAGACAGGACTTCGGCTACACGCGCTACAAATCTTTGTCCATTCGTCTCTCGAGATGGAGACATCGGTGACATTGATATACGATGCGCCACAATCTCGCGTGGGCAGCACGTCAGCAACGCTGGCCAGATGACCTTCGAGTGTGCCCCGATTTCCTTTCAAACAGCAAATAGATTTCGCGACCGTGGAACCCTCCGTAACCTGGTTACTGGACAGGCCTGTTGGAGCTCGCAAACGAAGCTGACGCTGCCCGAGGACATATTAACGACGACGAGAGAGGCGCTGAGCGAGCCCGTCATCAACGCCTTATCTTCGAATCGGTGACAGATATGCAACTAGACTGGACGTGTTGGCGCAGTCATCAGAGAGCCAACGCTTAACTCCACCACTTTCGAGGCCAAGGGGTGATCATTAGCAGTTATACAATCAGTATACAATCTATTTTCGGCCGCAGGCTCTCTTCGTTGCTCTTATATCCGGATTACGGCGGCAGTGAACAACAAGGAAGAAAGTAATAGACAACGACAAGAATAACCCACTGGAAAGAAATGACTATATTATTCGTTAGTTTGTAACCACGTGTAACCACGATAGAGCGTAGTCACGGCATGTGTGATTATACGTGTAACCACTTATTAGTGGTAAATTGCACTTCACGCAATTTTTCTTTTGTTTTGCACGATATTTCTTTCCCCAACGTAGTGTAACAAACCAGCCGCTATCTTAGCAACCTATCAGGCTTTTCTCTCTAAAGTCTCTCTATCTGGTCTACCATGTTTTTTCTTCATTCTCAAAGTTAGAACCATATTTGTTTTGTATTGCTGCGCATGTTGATCAATGTGATGTGGCTTCATTTCCCGAGTCGAGGAGGGGTGCATTCGGAAGACAAGTGAATCTGCGCAGCGGTCCTTGACGATGACGATGATAAAAACATTTCTTGAAGTGCAAAAAAAAAAAAAAACTGGGGAGGGTCCCAATTCAGGAACCCTATGACAACCTCAGCGATGGCCTGGGTCCGCCAGACGGGCGTCTGATTCGCCGAGTAGGTTAAATAAAGATGCACCTTATCACGGAAATTCAAGCACCATAACATCAAGGTCGCCTGGACTGAGAAGCAGTAAGGCTAAAGGATAGCGCAGGATAACCACAACGAAGGTAAACCTAACGTGGTTGAAATTAAGAAAGCACGTCCCCAACCAAGACACAGACACACACACACACACACACACACACACACACACACACACACACACACACACACACACACACACACACACACACACACACACACACACACGCACGCACACGCACGCACGCACGCACACGCACACGCACACGCGCACACGCACACGCGCACACGCACGCGCACACACGCGCACGCACACACGCGCACGCACACACGCGCACGCGCACGCGCACGCACACGCACACGCGCACGCGCACGCACACGCACACGCACACGCACACGCGCACGCACACGCACACGCACACGCACACGCACACACGCACACGCACACACACACACACGCATGCACACACGCAGACACAGAGACAGAGACAGAGAGACAGAGAGAGAGAGAGAGAGAGAGAGAGAGAGAAAGTGAGAGAGAGACAGACAGACAGAAAGGCAGAGAGCGAACCAGTGGTGTACGATATATCATTTAGAGCCAGAGTCCTTCAATGCAACGGTATTAAAGGACTCTGCTACAGCCTATGCGTGACGCCTATTCCGCACAAGGTCAGCGCTGCACGACTGAAACGTTTTACTGCGTCCACTGTGAGTGTTTACTTCAGCGCCGGCTCAAAAAGTGTTTCGGTGGCCCGTAAAACAGGCTCCTAACTTTAACATCGCAAGGACTATAGTCGACTCTCGAGCAGCTGTTCACCACAAGGCGTTCATGCTTTCTGCGGTTTCTTCTTTTTTTTTTTTTGGTGACGTTCTGCGCAGTTTACCCTTAGTCGTAACATTGCGGAATGGCGGCAGCAAGCAGTAATCGACGCGGCAGTCAACGGACGGCGTCGTCGTTGCCTCGCAGCGAATAACGCTGGGCTGTTGCCGTGGTCGCCATATGAACGGGCCAGCTGCTCTCACACTGTCGTATATATTGGCGCACTAGCGATATGAACGAGGCGTTGAGTGGCGCAAAATGAAGCGGGCAGGTTGGAGAGCGCAGCGCCGAGTGCTCTTCAGGTAATGGCCGCTCGAAAAGAGTGGGTGGGGTGGGGGTAACGTCACGTGTGTCATCATGGGCTATGAAACGCGTCTCGCCTGTACAGCTGGTTGAGACCCCCCCTTACGGGTCAGTGGCGATCACTGGCGCAAGAGAAGCTGCCTGGCAAACCGTTTGACGAGCGCTCAAAAGTGCTTCAAATGCGGCTTTTTTTTTTAAGGGCTGAGGTACAGTCGCTAACCACGGCGGACGCATTTCTACGCAGCCGAAAAGCAATAAGGAAAACGCGGGAAATAAGTACCTTAATTCAGGTTCATAATAAAGATCCCCAAAAGACTGAGTTATTCGTGTCCGCCACTGGCTTACTTCATGATA